CACTGCACACAAAATAATGGTTATAAAAATAATAATTCTAAAATATTACTGTGCCTCAACCTGGGATCTTGTTAACATACAAATGTCTGAGTCTTCCCTCCCTCTGCAAGATTGTTTCAGTAGGATTTTTTCATGTAGGTGTTCCCTGGATCTGACAAACACTGCTTTAAAATTTAAGTCTAATTCATAACCTGTATCACACTCTTGTTTAAAACCCTGGTACACTTTTTTACTTCCTTAGAATAAAATCCAAATAGTTTTCAACCTGGCTTATAAAGTACTTTAAAATTTGGACTGAGATTCATCCTTACCACCAGTCATACTAAACCTTTCATATCCTCCAACTCACCATGGAGTCCATCCCTTCTAGACCTTCTTTCCACACTGTTCCCTCTGCTTAGAAAATTCTACCTGGCTAACTCCTACTCACCCTTCAGGTCTCTATTTGAACATTCGCTCCTGTAAACATTTCCAAACACCCTAAACCCAGTTAGTTGTTCCTGCTATGTGCTCCCAAAGCACCATATGCTTCCAATAACATGGCATTTACCAAACATTATTGTAATTACTTAGTTAACTGTCTATATTTTCCCCCTCTGACCTGGAATGTACTGCTAAGTTCCATGAGGGCAGAACCATGCCTGTCTTTTATTCCAGTGCCTAGTACAGCTCCTGGCTCTGAGCAGGCACTTAATAAAGAGAAGGAACAAGTAATCCCTGCATGATCTGGCCCCTACTCACTAATATGCCCTTATTTCTTGTATCCATCCTGTCCCGACAATGTTCCAGCCACACCAAACTACTTTCAAGTTTCCAAATATTTAATCTTCTCTCCCGTCTCTGGGCTTTTGTAGCGGTTGTTCCCTCCGCCTAGAACATGGCTTGCTTGGCTAACTCCATTCATTCTCCTCTGACAGCCTAAGATGGACTCAGTACCCGGCCATTAACACCCTACTTAACCCTATCCCCTAGCAGTTGTCACCAAGTCCTACGATTGCCTCACTGTTTGTCTGACTTCCTTATTAAGTTGTAGGATTCCTAAAGATAGGAACTTTGTTATATCTGTTGCATCTCCCGGGCTTAATGGAAAGTCTAATATGTAGCAACAGTTCTATAAAATTTATAGAATAAACCTTTGATCCACAATCCAATTCCTCCTTATATCTCAGGGCTCTGTTCAACAACTCCAGTAAACAAATAGCCATTCTGATAGCGTCTCTAGTAGTTTATCCAATCAAAACAAGTAAGTTCACAAACATTTGGCTTAGGGAAGCTTTCTGCTAAAGACAGAAAACCTTATCCATAAACTGAGAAATGTTTCTGACACAAACCACTCAGAATCCTACCCTTTTAAGGTCTTCAGATATACTCAGAAAAAATATCCAACTGGCTGGCTTCACTACCTAGGCATCATGAAATGGAGTGTCAAACAACCTGTAAAAGGCTTCAAAATGTTCTCATTCTCTCATTTAGAACCTTATTTCCTTTAGATAGGGTGAAAAGCCAGCTATTAACAGTATAACACATGTGGCCTGAAGAAGCTTACACCAAGCTTCCCTCCCTATAACTGAACAAGACCCTTTATAATAGTTTTCAGAAGCACAAATGAAGAATGCACGAGAGGAGTAACAAGTAGGTGATGGTACTTTTGAACCACAGGTGCGTACAGTTTTTAAAATACACTTTCCAACCTACACCATAGGAAAAAGAAACTATCACACTCACTTCTGAGTCTTCTGCACTTTCATAATCCGAGAGAACAGCTGAAAGGAAACAGAAACATGTAAAGAAAAAAAATTCAACACAAGTTATTATAATTACATCTCCCGACTGCCTGTTGCGGATCAAGCTAAAGCTCTCATTTAATTCTGACTTCAACCTATGAGGGAGATAAAATTACAGTCCCCATATCCAGACTGAAAACAGGTTCAAAGAATGACTTTGACTTTCCCAAGATCATACTGCTAAAACGTACGCTTTTAAGCTCTATGCTACAAAGAGCCACTTTGCGGCACCCTCCCCCAAATCCTTACAGTCTGAGAGGATGTCAATTGCTGGAAACAGCTGACCTGAGTTTATGGGCAAACAACTCTGTCAGGATGCTACTCACCATCGCCCTCGATGCCATCTTCACTCTCCTAAAAGAAAGGAAAAGACATGGGTTAGTTCTGTGATTTCCAGAGGATGAGAGCTGAAAACCGAACACAAAATGGTTGGAAAGGGGCACGAGGAAAGGTACATCTTTAACAAGCAGCATCCGAGGGAGGTCCCGTCTATTCACCTCCAGTCCCAATTTCTGAATAAACATCCACTACCCATCCGCAGAAGCTCTGCCCTCCCCCCACAAACCGCTCCTCCTCGCTTGGGGCTCCGGAGGCAAACCGCACTGGGATAGCTCTCTTCTCGAACACGTTACGCCTCAGCATCTACCGTCAACTCCCAGCCTCCCATCTTCACCTACACCCCGCCCGCCCCCCGGCCCGCCCCGCCCGCGCGCACTCACACACTCCGACTCCTCAGCGCTCTTGGCGCCCCCGCTCTCCAACCGCCGCAGATGAAGGGCCCCGGCTCGGCCTCCGCGCTGGGAAAGGAGAGAGCCACTGCCGCCGCCTCCAGCGCTACCACTACAGCTCCCGCCGCCCCGCGCCGGGGAACCGCCGCTGTCTGAGCCGGAAGCACCAGATTCTTCGTCCTCGGTGTCCTGCGAAGCGCGCTGCCGCCGCCGGTCCGCCATCTTACGGAGAACAGCCGCCGCCGGCCAGCTCCTGACGTACCCCGCCCGTCGCAGGGGCTGCCGGGAAGCTCGAGACCTGGTCCCAGCATGCTTCACTTGCGGCGCTGATCGCCTGGCTCTTCAGAGGGAGGGGCTGGGGGCGGAGCTGGCGCGCTGCGACAAGTTTGCCGGCGAGCGGGATTGCGTAAGTCGGTGACGTGAGGGGGCGTGACGCGGCCCCTGACTTCCCCCGGTAGGGCACCGGGCAAGGGGGGAGTTGCACTCGGGCAGCCTCCTTCGGCTCCACGCCCGGCCATCTTGGGCTTTCTGAGTGGATATCGTTGACCTGTCACAGCTTCACTGCGGCATTGGAGTTGTTTCATGATTTTCTTTTTCGTTTCTACCTACGTTTGAAGCAGATCGTTTGACTGAATTCGTTTGCTTGGTAAAATCACGAATCAAGGGAAACCTCTGAAGCCGTTGTGCTGCATCAGATTTGTTACACCAGCCCATTTTAAGCTAAAGGGCGGAGGAGAAACCAGTTGTCCGTAGTGAAGCCCGAGGATTTAGTGTTGCAGCACTACAGTGTTTTCCCTTGTATTCTCATTTACTCTTCCCTCTTCAAGTGTCTTCCCACCCCAGCCATCACCTCTCCCAAAGCGCAGGCTGGTATGATGGTAATCTTACCAAGATTTTAGAACCGATTTTAAAAAAGAGAATCATAGGAATGGGCATTTGGTTCAATATCCTGACATGATTTCCTTCTTGTTAAGGGCATGCCAGACGGGTAGATGAGGGAATGCTGAGATTTTGGCAACACATTTTTCAGCAATGAAAAAAATCGGTATATTTGTTTTGTACCATAATAAAAACATATAAGAAGCGTAAGCTATTAGTGCACCTACGGGAGTACACATTTTAATAATACACACCAGAGAAAGGTCACTATCATAGCACAGGATTCTGTCCTGTGTAATGCTTTTACAAATGCTATGGTTAAGGATACTGATGTTTATCAAATTTATAGACAATATGAAACCAGAAGGTATTCTGAATGCCTTCAGAGATATAATCAGGATCCAAACAGATCTCAGCTGGTTAAACAAGTGGTCAAATGTGACAACTTGTAAATACAGCTCCAGAAACCAACTGCCTGAGTTCAAAATGGAGGATGTGTGATCTAATAAGTGTTAACAGAAAGAAAAAAAAAAAAAAGACCCAGAGGATCCTATCTATCTCAAAGTAAATTGATATAGTAAAGCTGCCAAGTTTAGTGTCTAAATAAGGAAAGTGATAGTCTGCCACTTTGCCTTTCAGTTGTTTGGTCTGGATTCAATTTTTTTTTTAAATAAATTTATTTATTTATTTTTGGCTGCATTGGGTCTTTGTTGCTGCACGTGGGCTTTCTCTAGTTGTGGCGAGCAGGGGCTACTCTCCATTGTGGTTTGCGGGCCTCTCATTGCGGTGGCTTCTCTTGTTGTGGAGCACGGGCTCTAGGGCACAGGCTCAGTAGTTGTGGTGCACGGGGCTTAGTTGCTCCGCAGCATGTGGGATCTTCCCGGACCAGGGCTCAAACCCAAGTCCCCTGCGTTGGCAGGCTGATTCTTAACCACTGCACCACCAGGGAAGCCCCTGGATTCAATTTTTAAATGGACATGAGCAAATCATCCAGAGAACTGAAACATTCAAGATCCTTTCTTTTGAGAAACAATTGTAAAATCTCTGAATGTTAACCATGAAGATTGGGATTGCCACAGCAAACTTTAACTATTTGAGGGACTATGAGGAAAGGAGGAATTGATATTTTTTCATCACCCTAGAAGGCAAAGCAAGAACCAGTGGGCTCGAGTTACAAGAAGTTAGATTTTGTCAACGAGGAAGAATTTTCTAACATTTAGAAAAAAACGTATAAGAGAAAACAAAGTGTTAAAGGAGAAGCTGGACTTCATTTGTCTGGAATGTTGTCAAAGGGAAATCATGTATTGAAGTCAGACTAGATGACCTCTAAGGTCTTTGCAACTGAGGTTTTACTAATTTAGACACCAGGCACCAAGTATCCTATCATCTCTTGTTTTTAAAGTTGCCAATTATGTGTAAGGAAGAACACAGGACAAAGAGGGATGAAACATACATTGTGTTCATACACCAATGGAAGTTAATATCTCATATAAAAGGGAAAATAGTGTTTTTCTATTTTGTGAAAATGGATTTCTTTTTCTAGTCTTTTAAAATATACAAGCAGAATTGTTTAATGCTTCCCAATAAATCTAATAAATTGAAGCAGAAGTTCAAAATTAACAGCCACAATAGTTTATTTACAATTGAACTCTTTATAAGATATTTACAAGACAACCAATTTTACACATCAGAAATGGTATCAAAAGTATGAATTACAACACAGACAACAATATGAAACGGGCATAAAACAAAGCTGAAGTGGACAGACAAGCAATTTCTCTTTTTAATTTATTAACACTAGCTTAAACTTTGTTAAGGAAAGAAACAAAGAACTGTGTTTTAGGAGAACTGCAGGTCCTTCAGTTGAAGATTGAATTTCAGTGTTGTATCCCATGTAGGGAAAAAATAAGACTAATTTTCCCCCCACACTTCAACACACTGTAATTTTGCTCTTGGAACTTTGCTAATCTACTCTCCAACCTCCTTCTCAACAAAACTTCAACATATCCAAATCAAAGGAGAATTGATCTAGAAGAGGGGACAATAAAATAAGAGGTCCTAGGTAGAGGGAGAACCAAGGAAATAGAATCCACTTAAGACTGGCCAGATAGCACCCATGGATTCCTCTTAGTCTAACTCAAGTTCAAAATCTGGGGAGTCTGCTGGATAGGCACAAACATAAAGGCTAAGTTTGCTAATGCATACCCAAATTAGGAGTCTGACAAATGCTGAAAATCAAGAAGAAACTGAGAGGAATCAAGGAATAAAAGAGACACTGACTGGTCTTTTTCTTCTTGGGCACATTATAAAGGAACATAACATAGGTCAGAGTAGGAAAGCCAAACAGCTTGCCATATTAAAATGATGGAGAACAAAGAAAATCTGGCCCAGTTTTTCTAGAAATCTCCTTCCTCTCCTTAAGGTGTGAGATGAGAGCCCCTAGTGGAATAAGTCCTATTTCTCTCTACATTCTTGCTGCAATGAAGTTCACAGCAGGTTCCCTTGTGGAGAGCCCACTCTCCTAAGCAGATGGAGTTACAAATGAAAACCCATAGCCACACACACACACACACACACACACAAAGGAGAAATAAGAGCAGCAAGATCATCCAAGAATACTACATGTGCTGCCAGAGTAATTCCTTTAAAAGTCAAACTCAGGGAGCACAGATCAACATCTCACAAAAAGCTTTAGCAGTGGGAGGCCCCTGAGGAACTTTTTTCTTCCCTTCCCACAATGGTATCCCATTCTCTCATGCTCCACTGATGGGCCGGCCACACATCCTACATACCTTGGCTTCTCCTCTAAAAGTGCTAATAATCTGGGGACATATTCTCTTCAAGGATAAAAGCCCCTACCTTCTAGGAGATTAGACCCCTACTTGTTTTCATACAATAGTCCTGAAGACTAAAGAAAGGCAATTCCTATATATTTAAGACCAGAGGTCTTGGCTCTATTTTCCTTCCAGATAGTTACAGGGATCTTACACTGAGACCAAAGTGGCCTGGAGCGCTGTCCTGAAATTCTTTTAACAAAATGGGGGTGGGGTGGGAGGTGGGTGGGAGGGGGGAACTAAGATGGTACACATACAAATCTATTTTTACAAAATGAACGGAGAAGCTCATTAGGTACATCTGTTTGTTTCAAGATGTAGACATTTGCCAGCCAAAGGAAGCACATATTTCCACACACACCCCCACCCTCCCTAAATCTCTATCCCACCACCAAGAGCTCAGCTAAAAGGATAAAACCCAACTAAGGAATACTGGAGAAGTGATGTGACACAAAGACATCTATACAGGATCTGGCATGCCATCCCCAAACACCAACGGCTTTTGTTTAGAGCCATGACTGGTCCCAAACTTACCATCCTCATTCTCTTTTCAGAAGATTTTATTCTTTGAGGGGTGGGGGAAGAAATTCAGTTACCCATTAACTAAGAAAATAATCACAGCCAAACATCCCTTCCCACATGGCTATATCACAGGATAGTTTTAAGAGAACTGTCTTTTCAGATATTTATCTACCAACTCCAACCTCTTTTCTACCCTGTGAAGATGACTTGCTTTATCACGTCACTTGTTATTCCTCATCTGGTCCTTAAGCTCATGGTGAGGTTTTTTGTTTTGTTTTGTTTTAGGGTAAAAACCACTATGCTCACACTATAAGGAAGGGTATACCAGGGCAAGAACAGTGCCATGCAGGCACAGCTCTAAAGGCAGGGGTTGCTTCATCTTCCAAAAGTCTAATGAAGAGAGCCCTTTCACCCTTTTAACATAGGCAAATGTAGAGAAGCAGACCCCTGAAGCTTCCAAATCTGCCATCCTATAGATTTAGCTTGAGAGTTCATTTCCCCAAAAGGGGAAAAGAAATCCCAATCACCCTCCATAATTCACAATTAGCCCAGTGAAAGAGTATTTGTGAAATCAGAGTGATGAAAACAAAACCAAGATCAGGGGAGTATGGAAGGGCATTACCAGCGAATGATAACATACATGAGGACATTGGTCACATATACAGGTCTCTGCCACTCTCTGGGAATGGCATGCTACAACTATCTGAAGACAGAAGGTTCTTGCCAGCACAGCTATTTCCTACATGTCCGATGAGGTGTTTGCTTCTTCTGGATCTCCAACCTGCATCGGCTACGCTCATCCAACCAGGGCAGCTCAAAATTCCTGGCAAAAAAGGATACAGAAATCAACCTGCAAGACTAGAAGAAACTCAGTATGGACATGAGACTAACTCAGAAAAAGACACTATGCCCTTTACCACTCCTAGCCCTGACTCCCAAGTCCCAGGTTTAGATTGTCTTTCCTGCCTCAAAGCCAGAGCAATGGTGTGCTATTAAAGTGATTGAATAATCTATTTCTAATTCAAAAAGGAATCCTCCTAATTCCTGGCTTGGGAATCTTATCACTGCAAAAACTAGTGGCCCAGGCAGCCTCACTTCTGTCAAAGAGCCATGGCTATCCCTAAGCCAGCTATTCCACCTTATATCTAGGCTTTCATGAAGTCTGGAAGGGAGGTGAAGCACAGACTACCTGAGAGAGGAGGGGAAAAAAACTTTATACTTACTGTGGAGTTAGTTTTGGTAATGGTCGTCCAAATGCTACAACAGGCAAGAAGGGGGTAATCATCAAACTTTCAACTACGGAAGAAAGCCAAACGGGACCTTGTTAGTGACACAGATGGAAAATGTCTAGCAACTATACCTGTTCCAAAATACTGCATTCATTCAGAGCAAGTTGTATCCTGGAGCCCTGTACTCTTTTAGATAAACAAAACTTACCATCATCTGGCTCAGGGAAAAATGAGGTAACCTCGGGCTCAGATTCCTGAATTCCTTTCTTTTTATACATTCTGAGCTGCAGTCGCTGTAAAATTCTTTGTTCCCTGATCCTCTGAATATCCCATCTGGGAAAAACAAACCAGACAAACAAAACAAACAAACCCAACATTACTGAAAACCAGCTCTATAAAGGCAACTCACACAATCCAGATGCTAGGGAGATCTCTGCTGAGTCTTCTAGATGGGGGATGGGGGGTGGGGAGGGGTACGGGGGTAAAGAGAACCGCCTGCTTGGTTAGGGAAGAGCTGTATAGGTCTGGCAGTCTAGATCATGTGTTGGTGTTCCCCAGAAGAAAAAGAGGCCAAACGTGTATAACAACAACCACTTCACACTCTGATACTCAACCAATTGAGTAATTGAAAAGTATTAAGAGCTCCAGGGCTCCCCTCAGCATAGATAAGAGAGGTTAGGGTCCTATAGGGCTCAGTTGTCCCCAGAATGGACATCTCCAGCCTCACCTTTTCCTTCTCTTCTCATCCAGCTCCAGTTTTGCATGCCGCTTCGAAAACACACTGTCATCCAGGTTCTGTGTAAAGAATAGCAGCTGATAAGCTACTTATCACCGTGTGACACATTTCCATCATTTCCAGTTTCCAGGAATGTAAAATCTTTCACCTTCAGGTCCCACCTGAGTCTGTGAGTTCTATGGATATCATAGGAACCTCCTGGTAACAAAATCAACAAAACACATACTCCTTTCCCCACCCCTACCCTGTAGAATCTCCATATTCCAAAATCATTTCTATAATTTTCCAAGGTGAAAGTCACATCAAACTGAAACAACCCTTGAGACTGCCACAAACCCTCCCTACCTCTATACTTTATAAGAGTCTGAGTTTAAAGTAAGTATCAAACTTATAAGAGTCAAATGAGGTTGGAATATATAATTCTGTTGCTGAGTGGTACACGCTAACTTTTCTACATAGCATGGAATCTAGCTTTGTTTTGAACATTCCCTAGTTATTTATTTTTTAATAAATCACTTAGCCACTCTGGACCTCAGTTTTCTCATCTATACAACAAAGGAGTTGGACTAGATAATCTCTCAAGTTACCTTCTTGCTTCAAAGTTCTATTTAACCCATCCATACAGTTACAATGACATATTCAAGTAACAGGCCCATTTCTCTCTCTCACTCCCTTCTACTGACAGGTCTTAGGTACCTACCTCCAAAAGGTCTGAAGGATTTGGGTCCCTTAGAGGCTCTACTGAGTGGTCCCTCCAAGAAGGAACTGGAAAGAAAAAAGAAAGAGAGAAAGAAAGGGAGGAGGGGTGGAACCACCCTTAAATCCAAGGTCACACAACCTACTATTCACTAGGACAAGAGATCTCTCCCAGATAAGACAAAGTTACCAAGTGATAGGAATCCATTCTATGGCCTCACCTGAAGCCATATTCAGTGTCCTTGCTACGGTATTAAAAGAACCTAAAATGCCATTGCAGTCTGCCAAACACAGGATCACAAAAAACCCTAAACCAATACCTGACAATTCACATAATGGATGCTATTGCAGTTCCTGAAAAACAACTGAAATTTGTAGTCATTTTGAAGTCTATAGTGTAATCATACACCAAGGAATCTCACTCTCCCCCATCCAACTGATGGGGAATGCAGCTCCCAACCATCCACCATCCCACCACCCCCACCCCAGACCCAGCCAGCACAGTTCCTATTCTACTCACCAGCCAAGACTGAAGTTTCTCCTGCAACACTTGATGGCATCAGACACCCTAAATAATGCAGGAAAGAAGAATCACCTCAGTGTAAAAAGAAAAAAAGCCCATACCCAAAATGGAGGAAAGGATCATCACTGAAGTTCTCACTAGGAAGCCATTTTGGTTTTTTGAGTTGTTCTTTTGAGAATTTCTCTCTGGGGGAGGGGAAGAGGGAACAACAGACAAAAGAAAAGAAAATAAGCCCACCACTTTTTTTTTTACACTGAGACGACTTCTTTTCTTCATTATTTAGGGTGGTTTCCCTGCAACAGTTGATGGCCAAGGATATCAAACCTTAAACTCAGAACATGGCAGGTGAGTAAAAGTTGACCCTATTTTTCAAATAAAAGATCAGTGTTCTCAAAACTTACATATGTAGTCTTCTTAAACAGCTCCCTCCTCCCTCCAAACAAACTACCTTGCTGGTCCAGCCTGAACAACATGCACAAAGACTTTGGCTTCCTTAGAACAAGCCATTGAGACTTCCTCTTGAGATAGGGGCGTCAAGAATAAGGATTCACACGTTTATTCACAACTCAGGGTCCTCAAAGGACTGGGATTCCCCCCAATCAGACTCTTTCTGTACTGCTAGGCCCACAATATTAGACGTGTTTGGAATTTTCTGTACTAGGGCAGAAAGGGTTTTCAAAAATAGCCAGTCACACAGAACAGCTCCGGACTAAGCCATTTCCCAATCCCGGATGGGAAATTGCTTCACGGTTTCTCTTGTTACACAGCATTGCCATGGCAGCAAGAAGGTTAACCATTAAGGATGAACCTGTTCAACTAACTGAACCAACAAAAAACCTGAGCCTAGATCAGGGTCCTGGTCTATCGCATGTACTCAAGTGTAAGGCCTAATGAATTTTAGATAATTAAGAAGAGTAATCTATCTTCCCCACTTAATTTTGTCACCAGAACAGCCAAACAAAGCCTGGAGAATGCTCTTGTCTTACTGGAATGGATTCCCATCCCCATCCCTACTAGGGCAAGACACAGCATCAGAAACTCAGGGCTGTGACTCTATCCAAGGCTTCCCCACCGTCACCCCGGAGCACCCGCTGTGACTGTCACAGACTAACATTACACGATTGAAGGCACATTCCAGTTACTGGTTGATGTAGGAGATAGGGGAGCATCTCTGTGTGGAAGCCATGAAGAAAAAAAAGGGAATGAAGACCAAGGTCCCATACCCCACACCCATCCCAAGCAGCTCAGATATCCCAAGATAGTCCTTATTGTTTGAAAAATAGTTTGTAGACCATTTTATTTAAATATATGAACAACCAATGGGCTACTGCAATCCAAGTAAACTCTTCACATTTAGAACCTTTGTGAAGTATCGTAAGATAAAGTAAGACTGTTGGTCTTTGGCAGATTCCTCCTGCCCCCCAGACCGGGACATAGAGATACAGATAAATGTTTATATAGTTAAAGAGCGGAGGCCCAGGTGAAATTCCCCACCCCAAACTGGCTCCCCAACCCAAAAATTACCATTGGCCCCTGAGAACACCCAAAGACCACCCTCCCAGGTTTCACACAATATCAATTGCAGGAACAGTCGTGCATGGCAAAGTATAAGTTCTATGCATTTCACAGCACAGAAAACCCTTCTTTCAGAGGGCATGCAAGTTGCCGGAGATTACACCCCCAAGTCTGGTGCTCTTGTGATGAGCAACTTACTGGCAAACACATCTCCCAGTGTTGTAAGCAGGCAAATACATTGAGCACATTTTGCTGTAATTCCATCTATTTGCAATGCCTGCACAGTGTCTGTCTCTGGCTGTTAACTTACTCATTCTTGACAGAACTCTGCTTTATTGATTGCACTTTTTTAAAAATGCCAAAGGCATTTTCACACTTGTTAGCTTGACCGCCACCACTAGGGTATAAGAGCAAGTGTTCTCTATGCCTTACTTGCTACAGTCTCCTCCTTCTTTGGAGAGGATTCCCGTAATGGTAACGGTGATGGGGGAGGCTGGTGCCAACGACACAAATACATTTCTGTGGTGGAAAGGTACGGCAAATCTTCTATCTCACTTGAGAAGGCTTTCTCCTTGGGATGGGTGCTGGGTCCCTTCTGGGGAGTCGAGAGTCTTGGCGGGGTGTCCACTGAAGACCGGGGCTTTTCTGGAGTTTCCTGGCTCCTCAATTCACGTTTACAAACAGTTTCAGATAAGGAACCACAGGGTTCCTCTTTAACAGGAGAGTGCTTAGGAGTTTTTGTTTTGACTTTTGAAAATTCAGGAGCCAGCTTTTTAACAGGAATCTTTCTTTCTGTACTTCCAAATGGGGATTTCCTATTAGATAGGGAAGAAAACATTATAGAATTTATTGACTCTTGAATAAAATCTAATTTGATTACATTTTGGGGCAAGAGAACTAGCTTGCTTCAAAATAACCAGTATTCAAGTATCTAAATATCTGCGTTCATTTGGCTGTCATGAGCAGGAACAGCTTCATGCTTAACAGTATATATAATAGGCCCTTAGTAAATGTTTGTTGAACAAGTGAGTTTCCATGCTTAAGAACCTCTACTAGTATCCTACTGCCTACTAAATCTAAAAAGGTCCCTATTTTATTCAAGATCCTTTAGCTGGGGCTTCCCTGGTGGCGCAGTGGTTGAGAGTCTGCCTGCTGATGCAGGGGACACGGGTTCGTGCCCCGGTCCAGGAAGATCCCACATGCCGCGAAGCGGCTGGGCCCGTGAGCCATGGCCACTGAGCTTGTGCGTCCGGAGCCTGTGCTCCGCAACGGGAGAGGCCACAACAGTGAGAGGCCCGCGTACGGCAAAAAAAAAAAAAAAAAAAAAAAAAGAAGACCCTTTAGCTAACATTAGAGGCCTCTACTTTGTGGCCTGTTTCATTCCTGTCAGCCAGAGACCAGTCTCTTATTCTACCCCTCCAAACCTACACCATGTTAATTACAATCTCTGTTTCTTTTTTCTTGCTATCTTCTGGCTCTCTTTCTCCCACCAGTCTACACACACACACACACACACACACACACTTCTAGGATGCCATCTCCTCTCCTTTTTACCAATCTAAATTCTATACTTCTTTTTCAAGATCCATCTCCTCCTTAAAGTTTCACTATTTTAACGCACAATAATCTTTAATCTCTGAATAGTTTGTATCACTGTTGTCTATCTGCATATTTTATTGCAGTTGAATTCTGAGTTTTCAAAACTTATGCCATCCTTATAGCTAGACTAATCTCTTCGAGTCCAAGGACACTTAGAGCTTACATTTTAATGTCTACCAGTGCCTGATGCAATGAAGGAATTTAACACTTCCTAACTTGAAGTGAAGGGCTATAGTTTTCTTTAAGAAACTCAGCTGTCACATTTGTTGCCCATTCTCTTTATGATGTACTCTGCATTCTGTAGTTACTACAGTGACCAAAATGTTCCTAACAGACGTACATAGTCTGCGCAAGAATGTTCCAAGACAGTTTCTCAGCACAGAAGACCTCATGATTCAAGATATAGTTCTATTAAAACAAATTCATAAGTCCTAATCCCTTACTCTCAGTCACTGGAAACAGGTGACCTCATGTCCAGACAGTGTAACAAAGTTATCAGCACACCTTTTGTGTCCCTTTCCACTCCGCCCACAGGAGAAAGGCTTGGGAGGCAGAGTCTGGGATGTCTCGGAAAGCTCCGGCTGGCACTCCAGTTTAATTTTCTCGGATATCTCCGTTTCCTCTCTCTCTTCAGTTTCATAGCCCTGAAACAGCTTGTGCCTTTCCTTCTCGTTATCCTTCTTTACCAGCTGCATCCGCCTTTCCATACGTTCAATCCGAGCAAGGAGCTAAAAGAGAGAATGGCAAAATGCAGACTTAAAAAACAAAAAAATTAAACACAGGTGCTTAGCCCTATTTGCGAATCAGTATGGTCTTCTGCCTCTTTCCATGAACCATAGCAATTCAACTTATTTTTAACAGGCAGACATTAATCTGAATAGATTTTCTTAAACACAATAGAGAAGACAAGGTACACTGCTTGATTTTAGGGGCTAAACTAGTTGGGGAGGGGCATGGGGGAATTTGTACTTCATTCTTCTGAAAGAAAATCCTCTTCACTGGGAGGGGCCACAACATGCCTTTTAAATGGCATGGTCTCTGCTACTGCTAACCATGTGGCTCCAAGTCAGTTTGGGAGTTTCCAGAATTAACCTTAATGTTCTTTTAGGAGGCCCTAAGGTTCTCCAAACCCTATCCTCTCTACTTCCACTCCAAAACACTATACACAAGGACAAAGTCCAGACAGTACATTGAGAAGGAATTAAAAGCTCACACAATCACAGTGCCACTAGGGATTGCAGTGTTATTTGAAGGCGGGTGGGGTGGGGGTGGGGAAGTGCCACCTAAATAATGAACACTCAATTTGGAAGAATTATAAAAGAACCAGTACCCATAAATCCCATCAATCATCAAATATACATATTGCTTTGCATTTGAGATAACAAAAAAATTATACCTATTTGTCTGAATATTGAAAACAAAGTCTTTTAATTCTAGTTAAAGGGAGGACCACATAATCAAACAGAAAATGGAAGTCTATTATCATTGAAAAGTTCACATTAAAATGTTCTGAGAAAAGATGCCAAATGTGCTACTTACACCCTATAATAAGAATTTTATTTGGGTTAGACTGTGATATTAATGTTGACTTCATTACATCCACTTAGCTGCACAGATTTCACGAGAGGCCAAACAACAACTGGAATAAGAGAAACAAGCTTAAGCATCGCTAAGACTGCAATACACAACAGAGGCAATGAATGCCAAGTTCAGACTGACACTCTATCCTTAACTCACCCCGCTTTTCCTGCCTAGGAAAGTCTGCAAAGGGGCCATTACCTCAGGTACTGAACAGAAACCTCCACAATCAGCAGAGAGCCCCCCTGTCAGCCACATTCTCATTTCATCTTCTGTTTTGATTCACAGCCTTAACATTACTTAAACACGGTTTATGGGTGACATTTCCTTGATTTCTTCTCCTTCACTGGTCGTTCTCTTCCCGCCTCCCCCCCCCAAATAAGGACACGATGTGTTGTAATTACAGTACCATCACACCCCTAGACTGCAGTACAGTAGCTGAGCAGTGCCACCTCCATGTTGAGTAACTTCCACAAATCAACACCATGAGATATTTTAATGAGACCGGCCCCAGCTCCCATTCCACCTTGCAGAATGCATTCTCCAATAAAACAGTCGCTGCCTGGAGAGATTCATTTGGAAAGCAAACAAAATGAACAGCCCTCTGCTCTCCTGCTCAGCCCTTGGCGCACACAACGCCAGAGAGGGAGAGGGAGGGAGAGAAGGAGAGAGGGAGAGAGGGAGAGAGGGAGAGAGGGAGAGAGGGAGAGAGAGAGAGAGAGAGAGAGAGAGAGAGAGGGAGAGGGAGAGGGAGAGGGAGAGGGAGAGGGAGAGGGAGGAAGAGAGAGAGACTGCTGCAGCCTGAACACAACAATTGTAGAAACCATGTTTATTTTTAGGCAGCTGTAAGGTATGCTAGCACAGTAATATCCCACCACCACAGCTTTCCTGATATCTGGAGGAATATGTTTTAACACATAAGGTGCCCTTAACTACTGCTGCAGTAAAAATAACCCTATATAGTCGTGCTCCTCAGAAGTACAAAGAAATAATAAATGACTTCCCTACTACCCTAAGATTCTAATATAGGGGAAAAAATTTTGGTCTACTTAATACATTTAATAAGCTTAATTTCCCCTGATGCCTTAAAAACCTTCCAGCCTCTAAACACCATGCTCATACAAGGGAGCTGGTTAGCAGGTCATGTTTTATAACTCAGATTCCTATGAAAAACTGTCTGAAATCAAAGGTGATGATTCTCTTAATATCATTTTAAAAAGCTGTAATAGGGTTCCACTGTGAATCACCTCGACCCCTCTGCCAATTAAAAGGCTTACTACTCTGTCTAAAGATGCTACAGCAGTGCTTAGAGCAACAGCTGCTATGGCCCTCTCCTCCAGAATACATTTATAACGCAAAGCTCTTTAAGTTAACCCCTTCCATAAAGCCACCACATATGTATCCCACCTTTTCATTTTTCAACCCCTCACAAATCAGGTCTTTTCCCACTCTAAACGTCTTTCCCACACGTCTGGGGCTGTCATTTTAAATTAACCCTTTGGCACCTGAAACTTCCCCTCCCCCTCCCCCTGGGAGGTTGCCCTTTAACCCCTCCCTCCAACCCAACGTGTGTCTGTGGGCCTGGCTCCCAAGGACCCGTTAACTAAGAAGACTCCTACGTTGGTGGCCAACCTCCTTACCCCTAACCTAGGGATACCTTAACCTCCTACAGCCCCCTTCCCCCGAGCATGCGCACAACTCGCTCCTAGTCCCGAACGCAGATTAACCCCTCCCGTACCGTGTCTCTCTCTGACTTCAGCTCCTCGATCTCCTTCTCCTTGGCCTGCAGCTGCTGCTGCTGCTGTTCGATGAGGTCCAATTGCAGCAGAAGGATCTGTTTGAGGCAGGCGGCCTGACTGGAGGCTCCCGAGCCGCCGCCACCCCCGAGAGGGCTCTTCCTCGTACTCTTCCATCGGCCCTCGCTGGCCGCCAGGGTTCCGGCGGCGGCGGTGGGCGCGAGGGGTGGCGGCCCGGGCAGAGGTAGTGGTGGGGGTCCCGCCGGGTCCGAGGCGGTGGCACCTGGGGGAGCCGCCCCACCCTTGTCCCCAGCCCAGGGCGTAGGCTCTTTGGCCGCCGCCACGAGAGAGCCCGTCTGAATGGGCAGCACCGCCTGATACTTGGGTCGGGGACTGCAGCCGGCTCCGGCTGCCGCTGGCTCCCCCCCAATGCCAGCTTGTTTGGTGGCCGGGGGCGGACAGGGCAAGGGCACCGAGCCGCCCCAGCTCTCTTCCTGCTGCCCGGGGGCCGCCCCGGCCGGGAGTAACAAGCCCCGGCCCTTGCCGCCGCAGCCGGCCGGGGAGGGCGCAGGGCTCCCGCCCTGGGAGGAGGCCAGCGGAGGCCCCGGCTCCTTGAGCTTACGGTGCCGGGGGAGGAAGTGGGCTTCGGCCGCCCCGGGCTCGTCCTCGGGCCCGCCCAGCGCCGCAGCTCGCTCGTAGTCCAGTCGCTGCTCAGGGTTGCCGCCGGCAGGGGCCGCGGCCGCCTTGAACACTGCGGATCTCATGGTCATAGTGGTCCGGAGCAGCGCCGGGGACCGAAACGGAGGAGGGGGTGGGGAAGGGGTGAGGTGCGGGGGGTCGAGGACGGAGGAGGGGGAGGGGAGTTTGGCGGGCTCGCCTCAGCAGCGCGGCAGCAGGCCTTGGCTAGCGCGGCTCCTCCGGGGCCCGGGCGCCATCCCGCCGGCGTGCGGAGAAGTGGAGGCCGCGGCTGAGGCCCGCCGCCGGCCCATGGGGGCCTCGCCGCCGCCTCTGCTGCCGCCGCCGCCGCCTTCGCCTCAGAGGCAGGAGCTCGCACCCAGCCGCCCCCGAGCTCATCCCCGGAGCTCGCTTCGGCCCCCCCTGGCCCGGCCGGGCCCGCCTCGTCTCCCCACCCCACACACCCCCTTCCCCGCCCCGGCCCCCCGCCCCGGAGCTCGCCTCAGCCGCCCCGAGCCTCCATTTTCCCCCCCCTCCTCCTCAGGAGGGGGTGGGAGGGATGGGTCCGCCCAAAGCCCTCCTACTCCGGGAGGGGGTCTGTCGCCTCCCCCGCGGGTCTCCGGGCTCGGGGTCCCCCTCCCCCACAGTCACCCCCGGCGCCTCAGCGTTTCCCTTTAAAAAAAACGGAGCCGCTCGGAGCCGCCACAACCGCAGCCGCCGCCGACCGGAGGGCGCATGCGCCGGGAGGGAAGCGGGCGGGAGCGAACCGGGAGCGGAGAGGAGGGAGGCGGGCCGCGCTATTGTGAAAGGGGCCGCAGCCGCCTCGAGGAAGGCGGGCAAGGGGCCACGGGGGCCCCGGGCGAGGGGAGGCCGGGGATGAGGGGCGAGGACCGAGGAGCCCGCGGAGCGGCGGGGTGAAGGTGGGCTGCCGGGGGAGGGGCAAGCCGGGGGAGGGTCAGGAGGAGTGAAGAAAGGGCTGGGGCTAGGACGGGTAGAAGGCGAATGCGGAGGCTCCTCGGAAGAGAGGAGCGTGAGAGAATGGAGTTGAGAGGAAGGAAGGGGTCTTCGGGAGGCAGATGCGCCCTCCGTGGAAGTGTACCGAGCGGTCCACGTACCCGGCCTGCGCTGGATTACCCCTTCCCCGGGCACCTTGGCAACCGGCCTGGCCCTCGCTGGAGGGGCCCAGCGGCCCTGCACGCCTCCTGGACCAGTCAGGATGCAGGCTCCTGTTTGAGCCTATGGGTGTTTCCTGGGCATAGAATTCTAACCCTCCACCCCCAGCACTCCCCAGCAGCCCCACACTGGTATGGGAGAGAATGAAGTTCTTTGTCTCTAAGGGATCCAGGCCAGAAACGGAGGGGACCTCTGGTTCCCCGAGGGAGGAAAATCCATGATGTCTGCTGCCTAGGGAGTTGTTGCCACCACCTCCCTGGAATGAAGTATTGCCAACTACCGACAGTTCTTTCCCAACGGCCATCTCCCCAGCCTTCTTAAGTCACTTCTAGCATCTTCTGGGGGTTCATGAAGGATTGAGGCAAAGGAAGTCTCGGAAGGGACCTTTACCTTTACCGGGAATAGGAATACTTTAGGGTATCCTCCTATGCTGAGCACTTTGTCCTCTCTCTTCAGTGTTCATTTTGTGTGTCTGTCTGTCTGTCTTAACTTACAGGCAACTTTAGCCAACAAGTCCTCACAGAATTTCTCCTGGAAAAACTTTTAAATAGTTTTAATTGATTGTTTTTCTTTTGTGTTGAGGTGGGATTTTTTTTTTTTTCCAGTCTATATGGAGATGGAGATGACTTAACATTCTTTGGTCTAATGTGAAAACCTCCCCAAAACACAGAGCACTGGAAATTTTAAATAGATGAGTGCGAATATGCTAAGCCAAGGGAGCCCCAGCGCTCTTCTACCAGACTGTATGGCCTCAGATCTGCAAGGGGAGTCCTGGAGTTAGGGATACCAGTGAAGGAGGTGTGTGGCAGGAGGCATATAGAGTAGTGGTGATCTTTTTCAGTGTCGAGACTTTCAATACCATCTCTACACTGGCAACTCCTAAATTTATATCTTCTTCTGGGATCATCCTCTCACTCCAAAATCATATATTCAGCTGCCTAGGAGACATATCCACTTGGATGTGTAACAGGCATTTCAAATGTACGTCTAAAATCACACTCCTGAATTTCCCTCACCCAAATCCTGCTTCTTCTACAGCCTTCCTCTCTTTCTCTCTCACTCCACATCCAATCAGTCTTCAATCCCATTGCCCTTCAATATATATATATCCAGAATCACACACCTTTGCAGCATCTCCACAACTTGCACCTTGAGTCATAATCTGTGCCATAATCGTATCTCACTTTTTTATTGCAGTAACCTTGTAATTAGTCCCTCAGTTTCAAGCTTTGCCTTCCCCCACTTAAGTCTGTTCTCAACACAGCAGCCATCGTGATTCTGATAAGATATGAGGCAGAGCATGTTCTTTCTCTGCTCAGAACCCTCTCATGACTTACCATCTTACTTGAAGTAAAAACAAAATCATCATTGTGGCTTGTGGGATCTAGTCCCCGGGACTGCTCTCTGACTTTGGCTCCTACTACTCTCCCCCTTACTCACCCCCCTCCTGCCACACTTGCCTCTTTGCTGTCCTTCAGACACACCCAACATGTGTCTGCTCAGGTTCTTTCACTTGCTGTTCCCTCCACTTGGGTCACTCTTTCTTCAGATAGTCACATACCTTCCTCTCTCATCTCCTTCAGCTCTTTACTAAATATCATCTTTTCATCATGCCTTCCTCTCTGGTTACCCTGTGTAAACGCACAACCTCTTCCAAATACCCTCCCTTGCCTTTTCTGCTTTATATTTTTCATATACTTATTACCATCTAAGACGTAATCGACCTTGTTTATTGTCCTCACACTAGAATGTGAGCTTTGTGTTTTGTTCACTGCTGTATCCTTAGCCCCTAGAACCATACCTGGCACAAAGTAGGCAGTTAATAAATATTCATTGAATGAGTAAATGAGCTGTTGATATTAAGAGAAAGCATGTACCCTTGACCTTTAGCTTGGTTGAGAGTGACAGTCTTGTAACATTAATAGAGTGTAAAAATTAGTGAAACCTAGGGAAGAATAAAGGTGTCTAGAAGCACAGAGAAGATAGAACATATTATCTGGAGGGAATTGAGGAAGTGACAACTGAAGTGGGTCTTAAAGCTTGAGGCCATAGGAGGACATTTCAGACAGAGGTGAGAACATTGCCTAGGCATGGGATAAAAGGATGTGTTGGAGTAAATAGGAGAAGTTGACTGGACTTTAGCTTGGATACTGGGGAGTACAGGGGGTAAAGCAAGCAAGGTGTGTTGAGACCAGATTGTTAAGGTCTGAAGGCCCAGTTAAGAAATGGATACAGCCGACCCTCCATATGCGCAGGTTCCACATCTGCAGATGCAAACAACTGCAAATTGAAAATATTCAGGAAGGGACTTCGCTGGTGGTGCGGTGGTTAAGAATCCGCCCGCCAATGCAGGGGACACAGGTTCGAGCCCTGGTCTGGGAAGATCCCACACGCCGGGGAGCAACTAAGCCCACGAGCCACAACTACTGAGCCCGTGTGCCACAACTACTGAAGCCCGTGCGCCTAGAGCCCATGCTCTGCCACGAGAGAAGCCACCGCAATGAGAAGACTGCACACTGCAACAAAGAGTAGCCCCTGCTTGCCGCAACTAGAGAAAGCCTGCACGCAGCAACGAAAACCCAATGCAGCCAAAAATAAATAAGTAAATAAATTTAATTTAAAAAGCTGACCATTAAAAAAACAAGAAAATATTCAGGAAAAAAAATTCCAGAAAGTTCCAAGAAGGAAAACTTGAATTTGCCGCAAGCCCGACAACGATTTACATAGCATTTACATTGTGTTAGTTACTGTAAGTAACCTAGAGATGATTTAGAGGATGTGCGTCAGCTATATGCAAATATACGCCATTTTATATAAGGAACTTGAGCATTCGAGGACTTTGGTATCCTGAGCAGGGTCTTGGAACCAATCTCCCTCGGATGCTGAGGGACAACTAATTTATCAGCCAAGGTGAAACATCGAAGGATTTCCACCAGAGTGTGGAATGATCAGATTTGTGTTTGAAAGCTAACTTCAGTATACCTTTGCATGGAAGGCAGGAGGCCAGCTTGCAGGCTGTTAGTCCAGGTGAGAGATGAGGAATCGTTAATCTAAGGCTTGAGAGTATAGTTATCACATTATTAGTAATTTGCAGAATTTCTTGATCGATAGAAAGTGTGAGGAGGGGGTGAGGGAGAAGGAGGACTTTGTGGTCAAGATTTCTAAGGTCAGGCAGATGCAATTCCATGAACAAATTGCATATGTTTTCTTCCTCACTAGACAAAGTGTGGTCCTGGACTGGCATCATCAGCATCAGCTGGGAACTTGTTAGAAATGCAAATTCTCAGGCCCCACTCTAGACCTAATGAATCAGAAACTCTGCAGTGGGACTCAAGCAGTCTTGTGTTTTAACAAGCCCTCCAGGTGATTCTGATGCACCTCAAATTTGAAAAACACTGCTTTGGAGTCTATACCAGGACCTATTCTTCAGGAGCCACATGGTAAGTATTTCAGGCTTTGACAGCTGTGGAGTCTCTTGCACTATTCAACTCTGCCACCGTAGCACAAAAGACAATGTGTAAATGAATGAGCGGTGGCTGATGATGAGTGGTTAATCTAAGGTACCAGTGGTACGGGGATTTAGAGGGAATGACAGGTGGCAGACTCATTGTTTGAAAGCAAAGGCTCTGGGGTGAGGCTGCAACCAGCGATTACATTCCCACCATTTTATAAAATTTTATTTAGGAACACTGAAGTTTAAATTTCATATGTTTTCACGTTTCATGAAATATTATTTTAGATTTTCAACTATTTAAAAATACTTAGTGGGACTTCCCTGGCGGTCCAATGGTTAAGACTCCATGCTTCCAATGCAGAGGGAGAAGGATTCAATCCCTGGTCAGGGAACTAAGATCCCTCATGCCTCTGGGTGTGGCCAAAAATAAACAACAACACACACACACACACACACACACACACACACACACACACACACACA